AAAGAAGACAACAGGAAACTTGGTTCTTCTAGAAAGTTGTTCTCAAATGAAGCTACCTGCAGTTGTGTCCAGTACATTTCGTATCTGTCCTCTGACATTTGTAAAGCAAAGCCCATTTAAAGTATGAAAATAGAAAATAATAAGGTTGAGAGCTTCTTAGAACAGAACTGAAGAAAACACCATTGCATTGGAATGCCATCCTGGCTTCTCAAGAACAGACCATCACACCAGTTCAGAGCCTGGGGTGGTCCCAGTGGTGCTGGAGCAGCGCTGGGTGTGGGGGGACCTTGCCCCAGCTGAGCTCTGGAGTAGCTCTGGTTTAACCCAGAGGGGAGGGACACACGGACACACACAGGGACAGACCTGACTGCGAGCAGGACAGGGACCTTCACAAGCTCTTTTGTTCCACCTGGAGCGTTTCTGGCCCAGGTTCTCCCTGGACAGAAGCAGCAGCTCTGGCTCAGAATTCCCTGTGGCGTTTTGGGGTCACGGATTGAGCTCCACTCAGTGCAGGAGGAGCTGCTCACTGCTCTACAGGCTGTAGGATTGGCAGAGAGGTGGAATGACTTCTTCCAGGTCACTCAGTGATTGCTCAGGAAATCAGAGTGATGCTGCTGATGCTCAGCTCCTGATGTTCACTGCCTTCCTTTTGCTCTTACAGTTTTAGAAAGAGAAAATCACCCTGGACAGTGTTTTTGGCAAATACAAAAAGCTTGGGCTCTAAACCCATGGATCTACTGCAGTTGGCTCCAGGTGTTGGAGAAAAGTGTTCTAAAACAAAACATTGAGATAGACTGGATGGGTGAGTGATGTGGAAAAGGTGTTTTATTCACTTAGCTTTAAAAGCAGAATTAAGTTTGCAGTTCAAAGCTACTGATGTTCACCAGCTCTCCACGAGTGCTGACTTTGTAACTGCCTTAGTCCAACAAATTAAAACATCACAAAGTCCAAGGGATGTTGCAACACATAAATTAAACATAAATTTTAATTTCCTAAATTTTCTTTACAATACATGTAAGATGCAACATGTTTGCAACCTCTTTACTTAAATAAAGCAAAATCTTGAAGGAAATTTGCATTCTTCAGCTGGTATTAATCTGATTTTCATGCACACACCTTGAGCTGTCTACACTAGAATGATGGATGCTGGGTTGCAGTACAGTGTATTAGCAACAGGTTTAGGTTAAACAAGTGGCATTGATTAAATTTGGTCTTTCTGGCCAATTAAAGAAAGATGTATTTTGAATTATCCATGAGCTTTATTCCACACTAAAGCCATGTGTGTTACTTAGGTTGTCGTTTTAAGGAAAATGAAAGCAAAAGGTGGCTTTTGGAAAGAGTAGTTGGAAATCAAAGCCTATGTGGAAAGGTATTTTTCATCATTTGCTGCCAGCTGGGAGTGAGCCCTGTTAGCAGCTCAATGCCAGGTGAGAAGAGAGGAAATCTATTGATAGGATAGGCTGAAAATCAGTGAAAATATTTTTCCTTCAGAAAAAGCTTTGGAAAAGAAATAAAATGCTTAGAAAAATGATATTTTTAATATTGCTTTAGGAAAATCTGAAAAAATAATGCCTTTCCACTTGCTTTCTGTACAAAGAATCCCTTTTTATCTCTTTTAAAGGAACTCTTCTAGAACTATAGAAAGTTACAAGGAATGAGAGGAGGGGGAAGGCTTTGAACTGAAGTGCCAGCACAGCACTGATGTTCTGGGCTCATGGGGCTGTTGTCAGAGCCTGCCCCTGTTCCTGGTGCTGTTCCTGGTGTTGTTCCTGGTGTTGTTCCTGCCCCTGTTCCTGTTCCTGCCCCTGTTCCTGGCAGAGGAGCCCAGCTGGAGCAGCCCCTGGAGCTGGGCCAGTGCTGGTTTTGTGTGGGCTCAGGGTACTGGAAAGGCAGGGCAGCACTGGGAGCACTGGGGGCACTGGGGGCACTGGGGGCGTGAGCCACATCCTTCAGGTGAAGTTCTGCCTCCAGAGCTCTCAGGAGTGGCTGCTCTCGGTGCTGTTTGAGGATTCTGAAGTTTGGGGAAGCCGTTCTGCCCCGCTCAGGTCAGGGATGAGGGGCTGCAGGGCAGCTCCCTGCTCTGCTGGGTGTCCTCCAGCCCCTTCCCCATCCCCATGCCAGGGATGCTCTGCTGCTCCCTGCCAGCCCTGCCAGGATGGATCCCTGTCCTGGCCCTGCAGGGGTGGATCCCTGTCCCTCCAGGGGTGGATCCCTGTCCCTGCAGGGGTGGGTCCCTGTCCCTGCAGCTCCCAGGGGTGCACAGTGCTCTCCTGGGTGCACCCAGGTTTTCCACAACACAAAGTTCCAGGTGCTTTCAGAAGCTTTACTTGGGCAACTTCAGAGGATAGAGGGAGCTAATGCCTCCATTGAAAATACTTTTAGCCCTGTTCCTCTGGGCTCAGACTTAATTCTGTGTGTTTTTATCCCCTGAGAGCCTGTGCTGAGGAGCTGACAGCTTGGGGCAGCACCTGCCCAGCCCATGGCAGAGGCACAAACCGTGCTTCCCCAGCAAGGAAAACAATTCCTGTCTTGTGGAAGAGAACAGGGGCCGTGGCAATCAGAGCCCAAGCAGCCAACCAGAAACTCCTGGAACTGGCCTTCCTCCTTCTTTTTAACCTCTAAAAATTGAATGTTATGCTCTCTTTTCCAAAAGGTTGATTGACAGCAATTAGAAGCCCCAATAGTGCTTTGGAGAGGGCTGCCACGATGGCTATTTACAGGTACAGAGATGTGAAGTGCCCTGTTCAGCACTCCACAATAAATCAGGAATAAGAAAGGCAGCACCAAGAATCCATGTGGAATCCCTGACTCTTTGTAATTTTTATTCCTTTCCCCTGTCAGCAAGGGGGAATTTCACCCTCACTCTGTGCCAGTGGAGATGAGGTTGCAGGGGTGGCAAGGGGTGGAGAGCAAGGCCTCTGATCTAGAAGGGCAGGGATGCTCAGGTGATGACAGTAAATGAAAATAAACCAAAAATTAAATTGAAACATCGAGAAAAAAACCTCAGTAATGGTAAGATTAACTGCAGTATAACCTCCTACAGGAAGCAGCAAAAGGCAGAGCGTTTTAATCTTTTAAAACAGGACTAAACATAGTTTTGGGTAACATATTACAGCACTGGAATAAATGACTGGAAGCTGGTGCAGCTACTGGAGGCTCAGCCTGCTGGTCCTGGGATGTTGGAGGGTTCTAAGGAGGGTATTGATTAATGCATCAGCCATTGCTCACTCACAGCAGGAGTGCTGCCAAAGCAGGGTGCAGCTCGTATGTGTAATCAGCATTAATTAGCTATACATGTATGTGTCTGTAATTAGTTCTATGGGTGTGTATATGTGCATATAAATATTACATCGGGAGAGGTTATGATGGATGGTAAAATAAATCATCCCTTTGCTGAAGCAGCCTCAAACACTCTTTTAACTGTGATGGTAAAATCCCTGCTCAGGAGGGGAACGGGACCTTTCCCTGTTCCCTCGGGCAGGGCACTGGCCTTGGCGAGGTTTGTGCATGGGATCAGCCAGACAGGGGGAGGTGGGGGATGTTCCTCACTCTGCCCTTCGTGGATCCCCCTGGAAAAGGGGGCTCCAGGAAGGCAGAATGGCAGGAAGGAGTTCCCCTTGGCAGGGGGAATCAGCTGTGGTTCAGGTCCATGGATTTCCTTGTGATGAATCCTCCCTGGAGGGGTCCCAGGATGAGGTACCTGGCAGGACCACACAGTGTTCTTCAGTTTTTGGTTAGCTGTTAGTTCATGATTAGGCTTTTCCCAAACTACCTGTAGAACTGTGAATAGAAAATGCTGTCCGTACCACACGTTAGCAAATGTTTTCCATTTCCAGTCCTGCTCCCCCTTCTCAAGCGGATCCTGTGCTGGGCCTGGAGAACTGAAATTGCTGACCTTGTCTATCCCCAAAATCAATGCAGCCCAGAAGCCGTGGATGGGACAACTGGAGCCCTAAGACTGTGAAAAAGCCAAATACCTCTCTGTCCATGCAAGATATTTGGCTCTGGGGTTAATTATCAAGTATAAATCCAGACAGTATTTGGCTACTATTTACAATGGGTTATACGTCCAGTGCTAGCAAAGGAATTTCTATAGAGAAACCAAAAGGTAAAAAGCATGGGCATACATTACAAGGAACCTCTGTTGGACTCATGAACACTTGATGCAGTTGAGTTCAGTGCTTTCATTCTTTGCCATTTGTGTGTACAGTATTAAAAAAGAATCCTACCTTTTTTTTTTTTTCCTTTTTAAAAATACAGAACTGTAGTCTAGTCACACTCTTACAAGTAAGTGATAACAAAAATAGAAAGCAGATACCCAGGTGGGACTAAAACTCTACTAAAGCCTGTCTTCTTTTTTTGTTGTTGTTGTTTTTGTTTTTCTCCACAAATATGTTTCCACAGACAATAATTAGCAGACAAACACACTGTTTGCAATTGCACTGTATTGACTTGAAAGGCGGATACAAAATAGTCTAAATGGGGATGTTTTCCAGGGTGGGAGGTGTGTGTGGGGTGTGTGCACAGGGGGTGCTGGCCCTGCCCTGGAGCAGCTCTGCACACTCACACACACACAGCCATGCAGGGGACTGCTGTGACAGGTGGCTTCTTTTGTCTAAATCTCTTCCTATAAAAGAAAAAAACCAAAAAAAACCAAAACAAGTGAAATTTTGGTTGGTTTAAAGGTTCTGCTCCATGAAGGAAAAAAAAAAAAAAACCGAACAAAAATTCACAAAATCCATTGGTTTTTTTTTTCACCTTTTCAGTCATTTCCTCATGAATAAATATTATCCATTAAAAACCTTTAAAAAGGTGCTGCGATACACAGTGTTATATTCCGCTCGTTCCTCCGGCCGTGCTGGCTCACCCAGCGCTGCTGGCCCCGCGGGCCCGGCTGTCCCCGGCTGTCCCCGGCTGTCCCCGGCTGTCCGGGCCGTGTCCCCACGTTGTCCCAGCGCTGTCCCCGGCTGTCCCCGCGCTGTCCCGGTCCCCAGGGCCGCTCACAGCGCCGACACCTTGACGATGCTCGGAGCGTTGGTGCCGGGGCTGCCCGGGCCGGGCCGGCTCTCGCCCTCGGGGGTGAGCGCCGGCGGCGTGGGGATGCTGATGATGGCCGTGGTGATCTGCGCGGATTTGCAGTTCGCTCTCAGCCCGTCGTCTGATTTCATGTTGAGGCTGGAACGACTAGAAAACAAATTTAGTGCTCGGCTCGTTTCTCGACGTGAGGCGGGAGAAGGGATGGGAACGGTTGTGGCTCTTAATCAGGATCTTATTCAGCTGAAATGATCAAAGACTCCATTCAAACGCCCCTCCCGTTCCTGCAAGGCACCGTTTACGTCTACACACGTTACACCGAGTTTGGCAATGTTCCCCCGGGTAGGAGACAGCTTTTCATGGGGCAAATTGCTCTGTTTCCATTTCCTTCTTGCATAATTCTAGTTTATTTAAAAGGACGTCTAAATACGCTGTCCTGTGTAGTGCATCTTTTCAGAGCACAGGTAGCTCTTTCTGAGAATGTTTTCTTGCATTTCAAATACCTCTTTCATATTCACCGTCCCTTGATCTTTTCTATTTTATTTCTCTCTGCAGCAGTTTCAAGGATCTGACAGCTGGGAGCATTCTTATTAGATCTGCATCAATTGCATCCTATAATTAATTACGGAGGGAAAATGATAGGTTGATTTCTGTGCATCTGCACAGCTCCAGGAGTCTGCTATTACCAGCCCAACATGTTCATTTTCAACACAAGGCCCGTCCTTTCAAAATGTAAAGCTGGCAGTGGGGAAGCTGTTGCTGTTGTTATCTCGGAGTGACTCACCAGAGGATGGTTTCTGATCCTCAAACACCCAGGAACAGAACCTGCTCCGATGCCTCGGGCACAGCCTGAGCGTGGGGCAGCCCCAGGGCCTGGCTGCTCCTGCCAGTGGGAACCAGCACACCCAGCTGATTGAATTCCACACAAAAAATATCTGAAAAGCTTTTTTTTTTTTCTGTCTCCATCCTTGCCCAGTTTGGTAAGCAAGTGAAATAAGTGTTGACATTTAAAATATCACCAGCATCCGATTTAGCACCCAGAACAGTTGACATTCCCCTGAATTACTGCTTCAGGTGCTGGTTTAAATTATTGTCACATTGGAACTGAAATAGCTGGAGACTTGTTTTATGCTTATTCATTCATAATTCATGCTCTGAAGTGCCCTTCTGGCATGAAGTAATCACTTGCTGCCCTAAAGGCAGCTTTGTTTCTACATCCCTTTGATAGGAGTGGGGAGAAGAGGAATGGGACATTCAGAACAAGCCCTGCTGCACAAAAAACTTATTGGGCTGAGGGGGATTTAGCAAATAATTTACTATTTGCAGGAATTATATGGTGAATAAATGATTCTTTTTCAGCAATTTATGTATAACATGAAATTTTAAACATTTTCTATTAAGGGACACTTCACCTGTGTCCTTTATGGCTTTTTTAGGTCACAGCTACTAAGACACCATTGTGAAATCACTCTTATTTGCTTCCCAGTGATGCTTAGAGTGGCAATTTAGACTTCTGGACACTGAAAATCAGTGGAGTGTCCCAGGGGGAACACGTCAGCTCTCCCACAGCTCTGGCCAGCAGACACTGGTTTTACCAACGTGCCCATTCCCAGGGGAGCCTGTTCCGTGTGCTACCACCCTCGGAGGGAAGAACCTTCTCCTGATATCCACCTTCTCCTGATATCCACCTTCTCCTGATATCCACCTTCCTTCTCCTGATATCCACCTTCTCTTGATATCCACCTTCTCCTGATATCCACCTTCTCCTGATATCCACCTTCTCCTGATATCCACCTTCTCCTGATATCCACCTTCTCCTGATATCCACCTTCTCCTCATATCCTGAGTCTGGCTTTAACCTGCTTCTTCCCAGGACAGCCAGGAGCTGCTTCCCCTGGCTCCTCACTGGGAGGGACAAAGATGCTGCCACCATCCCCTGCCCCCAGCTGCAGAACAGCCCTGCCAGCCCTGCAGCTGGACACAGCTGGACACAGGCCTGCAGCTGGACACAGCTGGACACAGCTGGGCACAGCCCTGCAGCCGGACACAGCTGGACACAGCTGGACACAGCCCTGCAGCCGGACACTGCTGGACACAGCTGGGCACAGCCCTGCAGCTGGACACAGCTGGACACAGCCCTGCAGCTGGACACAGCTGGACACAGCCAGACACAGCCCTGCCAGCCCCGCTGAGCACGACCCCTGCCCGTACCTGGTGGTGAGGGAGGGCTGCTCGCTGCACTGGATGTGGATGGTGCTGAGCTCCTGCATGCTCCGCAGCCGCGTGGCCGGCACGCTGGAGTTGGGCAGGTGCGTGGTTTTCTTGCTGCGCCGGGAGCAGCAGGACGTGGCCAGCCCGGGGTGGCTGGACAGCGAGGGGCTGCGGGATGAGGGGTAGTTCTGCATCGAGCTCTCCATGCAGTTCTGCTCGAACAGCTGCTCGTCGATGAACTCGTGGTTCTGGCAGGGAGAAGCAGAGCTGTCAGTGCCTGGGGGCAGCCCCTGCGCTCGCTGGGGGAGATGCTCTCTGCCCCTGTGCCCGGACAGGGCCGCACCGGGCAGGTCTCAAAAAGAAATTGCTCTGCCCTCACTGCAGCCAGGGAAGATTTTGCTCTCCTGTGTCAGCAGGGAAACGAGAGGAGCTGCTGCACTGAGCAAAGCGGGAGGGCCCCACTGCTGCCTTGCTCACACAGTCTGAGACGGTCAATCTGCTGGGGTCAAATCCATAGGGCTTGAATTTCTGTTCATTTTTTTGTCTGGATTCCAGAATGGTCTCAGAAAGTCTGGAATGCCACATGGTTATTAAACCCAAAAGGAGTTCACTCTCCTTTTCCTTTGTGCCCAGGGACAGGATTGCATTTTATTTGGATGATCACCTGGCCATGGAACTTAGTGCTTGCTTTGGCTGCTGGGTTCAAAGCATCCCTGCAGTGCACGAGCTGGGAGGAATAAACACGGCAGTGAAGAGGGGGAAGTGTTCAGGGGGAAGGAAATTCAGAAATCTGTAAAGAGCTTTTGTGCTAAGGAACAAGAAATCCTGAAAGAAAGAACTCATATGTGTGGCTGTGAACACCCAGGTAGAGTGAACAGACTTCATCTGGTCCCTGTCAGCTTCAGAAGAGATGGGAAACAAAAGCAACCATGCTGAAGGCAGCCACCAGATCACTGGAACAAGAAACAACTCTCACAGGGAACAAGAGCACTGGGAAGCCAAAGGGAGCCACGTGCACAAACACCCCAGGACAAGAGCAGAACGAGAAGTGAGCAAACACTGTCCAGACATGTCACAGAGACCACAGAGAAAACAGATCGAATTGAAAAGGAAATACCTTGATGGTGGAAGTTCGTACAGATAACAGGGGATCATCCACAAGATAGGACAATCCCTACGGGACAACATGCCAACAGAAGATAAAAACACAATTCATTGTCCATTCCAGCATTCAGAAGTTTAGTCCCAGCACTGCATCTCTCGCCTCAGCATTCCAGCTCGAGTTTGAATGGGCAACAGAACCTCCTCTCAGGCCCCTCAACCAGAATCCTTCTGACAATTCAGCTTTTGAGTGTTCCGTTCATGGAAGCACAACAAAACCCAGAACAACTTTATCACTTTGATCTTTTGAGAGCCAAAGGCAAAGACAAAGAAGGTTTCAGCTGCTGATTCACAAATCCCAGATTGGGATTGTTTTGCTGTTGTGTCACCAATGGACTGTGGGGTTTGATCAAACTCTGTGAAAACACAGAAGAAGGGTTGGGGTTGAAGGACTGGGTTCAAGGCACTCAGCACTTGGAGAAAACACAGCATGTGAATGTCCAGACTCAATCTGGGAGCTGGAATGAGAGGGGAAGAATCCTCCTTTTGTTTGAACAAACTCCATCTGCTGTGGGAATATGACAAAGTAATCTCTGTTGTGGCAGCTACAAGTGCTCCAGGGCCACTTTGTCATCTGACACAGCAGATCTGTGACCATTCACAGCCTCTCAGCTGGAAGTGCGTGCCAGTGACAACCCAGAGACCAGGCCAATAAATAATGGACTTTGAGAATCCTCTGCCTACTTTCAGGAAAGGTGAATTGCCCATTGAAACAAGCTTGCAACCATGGTACATTCCTCATTCCATTCCTGCAACTTGCTCACAAAATGACTCTTCAGTGTTTAAAAATGTTTTTACTGTGATTTAAATTTTCTGTTGCACAGTCCTTGAACAGATTTCATGAAGTACAGATCTCCACACAAACCCATCAAACTTTCTGATAATTCCAGACCAGAATCCAAACCTGCTGCTTGATTTGGTGCTACACCATGGCAATAACTGGCTGAGAAACAGGAGGGAAAACCCCACTGTGCAGATTCTCCTGCTGAGTTTTAACCAAAATTCAAGTATCACTGTTATTGCCGCTGTTTGCTGAAAAAGAGGAACATTTGGAACACTGTCAATTCCTGTGACTCTGTCTGAGCAGCTTTGTGAGCTGGAAGCCATCAGCCTTTGTTGGTGAGGTGGGCTGACACAGACAGGGCACCACACCACTAATTAGGGCATCACACCACTAATTAGGGCACCATGCCCCAAATTAGGGCACACTTTGGCCAGTTCCTTCAGCTCATGAGTGATGGAGCAACTCGTGCAGCCCCAGAGATGTTCACCTGCCCAGGCACAGCTCAGAATTTCAGTGAGCCTTTCTACAGGAGCAGACTTTTGTTTGCTTCAGCCAATTTGTTCACGTTTCCAAATGAAAGTGTTTTTGTGAAATGTGGGTCATGGTGCTGAAGGTTTTAGACAGAAAGTTTTAAACTGAAGAGTCAGGTTGTGAAATATCTGCTGGTAATGTAACATTGAAATAAAGGCAGCATGAGTTGTATAAAACAAATTCATTGATACAGGAAGAATCAGTTCACTGCCCTTGGCACAGGGACCTTTAGAGCTCGTTGGGCTCAGGTCACTGTAATTAATTACTCAGCTTCTTCCAGTGTATCTCTGAGGCCTAAGTGGTGCTATTCCAGCACAAGCCAAACTATGGAAGTGAAGGTGATTTGTCTAAAAGAAACCCTTGCAAGTCAGAAATCAAAAGTACATTTGATGATGGATGCAGATAGAAAAATGCATGAATATTTCAAGTGTTAACCTCCCTTCATTCTCCCTAGAATGAATCATGGTCTAGATAATGTGTTCCTTTACTGCAGAACCTTTTATATAAACCTGGAAGCAAAACATATGTATCAAATAAATATCTGAAATGTTCCCAAAGACTTCTGCATACACAATCAGTCAGTACAGCAAAGTGAAACTCTGGCTCCCAACACCTTGCAGGATGCAAACAGAAAAGTCATGCTGTACAAACTGGCTTTGAGATAAATCACCTGCCCTTGCAGCCAGACAGAGATGAGAAAAGATGTGTGCAACCTTTAAACCCTTGAACAGAGTTCATCCCCTCTGAGCCATCCCCAGGGCTAAAGGTTATTTTTCGCAGGCCGTGGTTTGGAGTCCCCAGCAGCATCTTCCTCCCAAGGCAGCAGAGCTGTCCCTCAGTGCTGCCCAGCACCAGGGATGGGGGAGAGATGTGTGACCCACAGCACAAGGGAAATGCACTTTGGGTCTCTTTCAGGAGCACTGAAGAAATGAAACATCCTCTCTCTAGGATCTGCCTAACCTCTCTCTGGAATTTCTGTGTGTTCAGATGAAGTACAAGGCGTAGGGACTGAGGGCAGCAGCTAATCCCATCTTTATCCCTCTGCACAGGAATTATTCTTTTCAAGACAATGAAGCAGAAGCACACAACCCACTGCAGACTGTTGTGGGGAGCCCAGGAGGAGCAGCAGCCCTGGCAGGGAGTGTGGCAGGGTCCCTGAGAGCCCCCCGTGTGGAATCTCCTCCCGGGAGCCCGGCTGGGGAAGCTGTGCTGGTACTTACGGTTGTTTTTTCCAGGCAGTGCAGCAGATGGTGGTGTTGGCTCTCGATTAAGGAGGTGCCTTTAGTCATGTGCTGTTCCTCTTCGGTGGATCCCTGAATAGCCACAGAGAGAGGAGGGGAGCAAAACCCAAAGCGGGTGTAAAAGCAGGAAAACAAACAGAACCAGCAGCACCAGCGGGAGCTGGCACAGGGGTAAACACAACAATTGCAGTGCTGCCGGCTCTCGGGTTTTTCTCCTGACTCTTAGGAAGTTTCCTCAGGTTTTTTCTCAGTGATTTCACTTGTCCACCCCGGTGGACTCGGGCTGGACTCAAACCCTGTGTGCTTCTAGGTGTTCTTTAGCTGGGCAGGAGGAGCGGGCAGGGCTGCTGGCTCACGATGCCAAGCTCAGGAATCAGAGAGCAAAGAGGAAAAGCCTTTGTGCTGCTGTACTTTTCCAAAAGCCATTAAGACTGATCTTGCCATGACCTTTGAAGGGCAGCAGATGTGCCCTGACCTGGAGCCTGTGCTGGAGGCCAGGCAAAGCTGTGCTGCTCCCCTGGCTCTGCCTGGGCTGGCCCTGGTGCTCAGGGCAGCAGGACAGCACACTCCAGCTCCAGCCAGAAGGGTATTCTCTCAGTGCTGCTTGAATTTCCAGTCTCTAAACTGCCTGTGACTCCACCAAGGTTAATCTGTGGTGTGTCTCTGAGGATGAATGCTTTCACAGACCATGAGGTGCGTTAAAGCAGCAGTTGGGTGGTGTCAGATGTTCCCAGTGCCTCAGAAGTAAGGGGTGTCCTCCCTTGTGGCTAAATCTGGAGTAAAAGATGGATGTGCATGGTTTGAACGCTGCTCAGGGGAGGAAATCTTGGCAGAACATCTTGCCAGGACATTGCTTGTTGCTCTCAAGAGGATCAAATTCAGCTGTGGTTAAAGCATTGCACCTAAACACGCCCCTGTGTGCCACTGCTCCCTGCAAGGGCCTGCTCTGGACCCTGGCTGCTGCTGGGATCCTTAAGTGAAGGAATAACTCTGACAGGTGCCAAAACACAGCTGAAGTGGTACATTAAGGAAGCCGACTTCCTGAACACAGAATTAATAAATTCCTGTGGGAATGCATCTTAGGCAGGTTATGGATTTTTTGTTGCTGTCGTTTTGGAAGATGAACATTCCCAGATGTATTTTTAGAAGTGGCCTAAAAACAAAAATCAGTTCCATTTTTCTTATTAACAATCCTCCTGGTGAGGTAACACATCCAGCAGGTTCTGCTGGCTCCTGCTGGGAAGACTGACTCCACTGGAGTCTGGGTTGGAATATTTCCCATGGAGCTCCTTGGAAGCCCTAAAGCAGAGATGATGCTGCACTAAAACACTGGGAAAAGAGAGAGCAAGAGCACATATTGCAAACAGTATCTTTTTATGAGGATTTGCCTGAGAGGAAATGGAAATGGGAGCTGAAAGCCAAGACAGAGCTTCCGCAGCTCTGGCAGGAGAGCCAAGGCAGTTGTGAGGAGTTGGCAGCACAGCCCAGCTCTGCCTCCCATCACACGCTGGGCTTGGCCCTGGGGGAAGGGCTCAGGGGACAGCAGTGACCAGGGATGACCTCAAGTGTCAGGGACTGGGACTTGGACCTTATCTTCTTTGGGATTCTTTTCAGTCAGCTCAGTGTCTGCAGAAGCAAAGAGCAGAACCTCCGAGGCCATCCCAGGTGGGAAGGAGGCACAAGATCTGCAGGAACAGCTGCCCTGGGCCAGGGCCAACATCCCAGGCACTTGGCATTTTGGGAGTGGTGCTGAGGAAAGGGATCCTACAGACGTAGGTTGCGCATCAGTGGTTCCTGTGTTACTGCAGGCAAACAAAATCTGGGTCTTCAGCAGAAGGGTCTGGCTGCAGTGGAAGAGCTGGTGGGGGAAGGAGAGGCAGGGATGCCAGTTTTGCCAGGATCTGATGCCAGTTACCGTTCAGTTCGCTCTTGGAAGACGTTCAGTGAACTGCTGGTCGCTTCGGGGGAGGCTGCAGCACACTGAGGTGTCAGTTCTGAAATCCAAAATTCTTCCACTTTACCTGGATTTTGGTGCTCCATCAGTGGGCCCTGCTGAGCTGCTCCAGGGGCTGGGCTGGCCCTGCCCAGTGCTTATCTGGGGCTTGTGAAAAAGCTCCAGAGCTCCCGGCCTCCTGTTCCTGGGATATTCACCTCCTGGCACTGCAGCTAAAAGGGAATTTCAGCTGTACAAGGAGATTAGTGCTAAGAGGATATGTAGGCTGCTGCCATGGGAAGAATCTCACCATCCCTTGAGCACTTTTGACATAAAGCCCACTAAAAAAATCTCTAAATGAGACAAAAACAGTCTGAGTACTTCGTGTCTAGATGGCAAATGCCACAAATCCACACGTTTGTGGAGCACGAGTCCGCTCTGTCGCTGGAATCTCCTTCCTGCTGCTGTCCTCGGATGAATCCTTTTCTTTGCCTTCTCTTCCCTCTGATGGGAGGCTCCAGGCTGGAGACCCTTGGAAGGTGGTGTCAGTGTGTCCATCCTGGTGCTGGTGGAAGCACACCTTCCGGAATCCTGAGCTCTCCTGCCTTTCCAGGCTGTTGGTTTGGCTGCAGAGCCCAGCCAGGGACGGCGTGGGGCTGTCACTGCTCGGTGACCAGTGCCACACGACCTGCTGGGCCTTGTCAGCCCGTGGCACCGTGAGCCCCGAGCTGTGGGATCCCTGGGGACGGCAGAGAACATCTGCTGGTGATGGAGGAGCTGCAGCTGGAGCTGCTGCTGGGGGATGAGGCAGCTCTGTGGCAGCCTGGCCACGTGCAGCCCGTTCCTGTTCACACAGATCCTGGGCAAGGTGTCAAAACAGGCCTTGGACCTGAGCAGGGAAGCAGTTTGACACTAATTTCACTGACAAATATGCACAGTATGGAGATAATATTTTGGTGCCTATTATGGCAGCTACACGAGCCGTGTTCCTTTATGTTTTTACAGCTTAAAAAATTTGGCTGTCTGGACTTGCTGTCATTCACATTTTGTACTCTTTAGAAGAGTTTGCTGCTCAGCCATGAAATGAAAGGACATAAAATCTTGTCTTATGGAGTTAAGCTGGTCATGTTCACCTGTAGGGAAGAACTCTCTGCAGTTCTGTAATTATTTAGTGTCTCTACTGGGGGAGGGAGAGACGTGTTGGGTTTTGATTCTGGCCCAAACCCTTCTGGGATTCTATGATTTAGGGCTATAAGCCCACCAGGAAGGAAGTTACAGCCAGAAAACCTTGTGAAAATCTGCTGTAAGAGCTCCTATAGACCTAAATTTAGTTATTAATGGGTAAAAAAAAAACCCTCTAGAACCTCTTTAGAAACGTTTCTGTTTTCCTTCCTGTGTCTACAGTAGCTTTGTAGCCAAAATGATCCTTTTCCCACTTATTTTTGGGCAAGTGCCAGAAAATGAACCCATTCAGCCAAATATTTCTCTCAGCCTCGTGCATTTTGGGCTTAAGCATTGGTGTGTCAGCTGCTCTTCCCTGAGTGCTCTTGGCAGGGAGCTCTGGCTGACAAGAGAAGTGAGGAGATCCTTGTTGGGATGACAGGCTGGAAGATCAAGAGCAAACTGAGTGATCCTGCTAAGCTCTCCTGGCAATTTTAAAGACCAGAAACCTAAAGTTGAGAAGGAGATTTAAAATTTGTAGTCAAATTTTTGCATGTTTCTGGGTAATGAAATAGCAGAATCCCAGCAGAGCTGACTTCCCAGTCCTGAGCCTTCCCTGTGTGGGGATAAAGCTCTGGGATAGGTGTGAGCAGTCCAGGCCTCTCCTTGATACAGAAACTTCTCCGGAGCTGTTCAGCAGTGCCAGATGGTCCAAGGAACAGATTTCCTGAGCGAGGCTGCCATTGCCAGAGCAGGAGACAACGTTGGATGTGTAGTCAGAGGGATCCAACTTGTTTTGGAAGAACAGAACTGCTCTGGGCCCCCAGCTTCCAAACCTGGACTTGGTGTGAAGTGTTTCTGTGGAGCAGTTCAGAGACACTCCAGGTGTGAAGGGTCAGGTTTGTCTGTGCCAGGCTGCCCTGAGCACACCCCAGGTGCCAGAACCGGGTGCTGCACGGAGCTCACAGCCTGGGGAGCAGCTCTCAGCTCTCACAGGGGCTGCAAGGCTTTCTCAGCTTGATTTTACAGAGTCATTGAGGCTGGAAAAGCGCCCCCAGCTCCCTCAGCTGCTCCTCAGAGAACTTGTTCTCCAGACTCTCCCCCAGCTCTGTTGTTCCTCCCTGGGCACAAAAGCAGGGATGTGTCCCAGGGAGAGTGAAATTGAGGATTAGATCCCAAGTGAGGCTGCACAAATCAGTTCTAGGGGGCTCTGGGGCTCAATCATTCTTCATCTCTCTCTCTTTGCTCCCCACGTGCATGAAAGGCTGATTTATTTGAAATGAAATCCGTGAAATGTGCTAATACCTGCTCTGGTGTTGATCAGGCTTAATGCAATAACCTCAGCTCGCATTTGCTGGTTCTGCTGAGCAACCCGAGCACTTCAAACTTTCCTCCTCCTGAGCAGCCAGAGGCCTTTGGAGGCCTTTGAAAACAACCCCACCCTCAGAGTGACTGAAACAGGGGCCAGGGAATATTTTCCTGTCCTGCTGGAGAGGATCAGATAGTCGATATTAGACTCCTAAAAACTGACCGGGAGGCAGTGGGTATTTACAGCGTGGGCTGAGTAGATCAGTGCAGCTCCAGCAGCTCCGGCACAGCCGGGGCTCAGAGGGGCTGAGGGGCTGCTCCTTGCTGGAACCCCGGAGCCTCTCCCGGCTCCAGGAGCAGCTGGGGGAGCTTTGCCCTGCCCTGCTGTGCATGGATTCCAGCTGTGGCAGCACATCCCGGGATGTGGGGCAGCGAGGGGAGAGGAGCGGGCAGGGAGGGAGCGCGGCCGGGCCCAGCACTCACCGTCAGCTCCAGGGCCTCGTTCAGGAGCCCGTTGCGTTTGCTGTGCAGGTACGCGTTGGAGCTGCCAGTCTTGGCCACCCTGATCCGCGCCAGGCGTGCCTTCTGTGGGGACAGCAGCCGTGTTAGGGACACAGAGTGACACTGGGGACAGCAGCCATGTTAGGGACACAGAGAGACACTGGGGACAGCAGCAGTGTTAGGGACAGAGTGACACTGGGGACAGCAGCAGTGTTAGGGACAGAGTGACACTGGGGACAGCAGCAGTGTTAGGGACAGAGTGACATTGGGGACAGCAGCCGTGTTAGGGACAGAGTGACACTGGGGACAGCAGCAGTGTTAGGGACACAGAGTGACACTGGGGACAGCAGCAGTGTTAGGGACACAGAGTGACACTGGGGACAGCAGCAGTGTTAGGGACACAGAGTGACATTGGGGACAGCAGCCGTGTTAGGGACACAGAGAGACACTGGGGACAGCAGCAGTGTTAGGGACAGAGTGACACTGGGGACAGCAGCAGTGTTAGGGACACAGAGAGACACTGGGGACAGCAGCAGTGTTAGGGACAGAGAGAGATTGGGGACACTGGGGTTAGGGCTGGGGACATTGGGGTTAGGGATGAGGGAACAGAGTAGGGGAAACAGTGGGGAGAACAGAACAGAACCGAGTTAGGGCTGGGGAAACAGAATGGGGAGAACAGAACAGAACCGAGTTAGGGCTGAGTAAACAGAGTGGGGAGAACAGAACAGAACCGAGTTAGGGCTGGGGAAACAGTGGGGTGCTGCAATGGGGCACTGCAGGCCCCTTTGTGCTCCCCAAAGGTCACTGGGTGAGATGCAGAGCGCTGCAGCCTCGTCCTGGCCGTGCTCGGGGCACAGGGGCTGTGGGTGCTGTTCAGGGTTTGGGTGTTCTCCATTTCTCCCCTTCCCCCAGCATCCTCAAGCCCCTCTTTCTCTCTCAGCTCTGTCCTTGGCAGTCTCTGTCCCCTGCTCTGCTCGTGCTGAGCCCGGACCTGTGTCCCTGCAGTGGCACTGGGACTTCATTAACTGTGGCACTTGATAAAATAACTGTCCAAAAATACACATCTCCAGGGGGACAAGTTAGGTGATAAGAAGCAGTCCAGAATAATGCCAGTAAGAAAAACTAAGACCCTACCTCTTCCTTTTTGATTATTTTGGATAATTCTTTTTAGCATTTTAGTTTTTCTTTTCAGTTGCTGCCTGCTTCTCTGTCGAGTGATTTGCCTTTTTTCTTTTCTACTGTTAATTTATGACTCAAACACCATTAAAAGTAAATACATGAAATAGCTGCAGCTATTAAAAAATAATTACATTGTGCTGTAGTTTAAAATGCTGCATAATCCCTTAAATAACATGGAGCTCGTGATTTTCCCTTCTAATTAGAGGTGCTAACGGGTAAACGCTGTAGGAAGAGGAAAGGCAGGAGGCAAATATCTGCAGTGGGTCCAGAGAGTGGAGCCATTTCAGGAGCTCTCTCCCTGCCCAGGTGTGAGCCACTCTGACCTTCAGTATTGGAAATACTCAAAATATTTGTTTAACCTCAGGACTTTGTGCTCAAGCAGACAGTTTCTCAGGAGAAGACATGCACAGGGTAAAGTCTGCAGCTTTAACTGGGTGACACAGACAATGACCAGTCTGAAAAATAGGTTTTCTTTTGGCCCCCCCAAAATGGGGACATCTGAAATTGGCTTTATTTTCTATACCTCACCTAAATTCCCTTGTCCCATTTTAACACCGAGCCTCCTGATCAGTGTGAGAGTGAGATCTCTGTGCTGGGCCAAGGTACCAAGGCATGGGCTGAGAACACAACGAGGAAGTGAAATTGGATCTTCACTTTTTCTGGAGACTTTCCCGAGCTGCTGTGTCACTCTAGGCCCTGGAAAGGACTGGCCTTAGGCTGTGGCCTGGAACAAAATCCATGGGGACTGCTGCTATGGAATGGGAGCCGTGGGAGAGAGCCAGGATAGGGGATGAGCAATATTTCATTTTGCAGGTACATGGCATGGTCCCTCTGTTCCTGATAATTACATCTCCATTAAATTGTTTATTCTAAATGCAAGTATGTGCCTTTGTGTGTCTGTTCCTTACTTCTCACAGCGATCTCTCTCCTCTAATCAGGAGTGGATGCAGTGGTGGATTTTCCAGGGAAGCTCTGATGGTCACCACTGAAGATTCCCATTTCTCTCTGTGCTTGATAAAACACCAGCTCCTCTGCTGGAGGAACTGCCAGTGCCCAACTTACCCCACCTCTGGCAGGAAAGGCTCACCCTCATCTTCAGCCAATTGTGAAAGTGGATTCAGTCTCAGGCTGTTGTAATGAACATTATTCCCTTTGTCTCCAGGCTGGCAGGGGATCAAATATTAATAGCTGTACTCCATGTGGAGTGGAGATGGTTCTGAGGTCTGTTCCCTTTCCCTTTTGAAACAGGGCCACTTGCTATCTAAATAATTAAGCCCCACAGCTTTTGTAGTTTAGAACAGACGTTGTTATTTTAAAAAATGTCAATGGGGCAGGACAGAAGTTAATCCTGTTCTCCTTACACAAAGGATTGGCTGGGATCGTCACAGAGCCCAACTCCGGGTCCCCATCGTGATTAAATTTGGTAGATATCTTGATTAACTCAGCTAGAGAAGTTAATTAAAATTGGTGCCTAAAATTGGTTTGGCCCTCCAGACAGTTTCCTTCATTGGACTAGAAACAACTCTAAAACAACAGCTCAGGTTTTTCTGTGAATGTCTGTGTACAAATGTGAATTCTTTGGAAAGTGTCTCTGTCAGGGACACAAGCTCTGCCTGGTGTTTGGGGTCCTGTCCTGTGTCTCTGTGGGGTCTGGCACTTTGATCAATTCTGACAGTAAAGAAGGGTTTATTTTCTTCCAAATTCTGCCAGTTTTTGCCACATGTGGGCATGTTTTTGTCATCCCTGTCCTGCAGAGCTCAGCGCTGCTGGTCTGGGCACAGAAGATGGGCAGGTGGAAGCCTGTGGCTCTCTGGCCTTCTGCTGCAAATGTCATTTTGGGGGGGATGATTGTCTTTTGCATCTTCTCCCCAAAATGTGACAGACTAAAGGTCACCAGGGCCAGGCCTGAGATCACTGTTACTGAAATAACCCCTGCACAGGAGGCTAAAAAAGGAAAAGCAAACGGCACACTGTGTCTGCATGGAGATGGGGAGAGGAGTTGCTAGGAAACCACAGGATCTCAAAATGCATATGACCTAATCTGGAAGATAATTTATATGATGAAAATAATAATACTAATGACAGCCACTTACAGGTTAGAATGATTAATTTGGTTATCTTGGAGCCCACGTGTTTCTCTGAGCAGGATGGGAGGCAGGGCTCAGTAACTTCTGGGCTTTGCTGGTTTTTAAGAAACTGGAGGTTCAAAATAAGCAGGAAGGGCAGTGAAGACCTGCCCAGGTGGGGAGGGTGCAGTGTCTTGGTGTCTGCACTTCCCAAAGAGGCTGGCAGAGGAGAGGGAAGAGCCTGAGTTCATCTTGTTGCTTTTTGGAGAAGTGCAGGGAGCAGGAGCTGCTGGCTGGGAGAAATGCTTACCAGATGGCAGGCTCAGGAAACACCTAATTATTATTTATTAATGATTTTCATCCAGTTCTTATGGAGATAACACTCACTCTTGATTTATGTGGGAGAAAAAACCTATTCAGTAACAACCTATGACACAGTTCCATATTTGCCAGAAAACTTCAGCTTTCCAGATCTTCTGTTCCTGAGCAAGCAGGGAGTGGAGAACCTGTAAGTCAGGAACTCTCTGCAGGCCCTGCAGCCCCTTCTCCCTCTGTGCACCAGAGCTGGTTTCAGCATTATCACTCTCAGGATGAGGTTGGAAAGGACCTCAGGAATCAAATCCTGGCTCCCCTGGTCTAACTCTGCAGAGCCACCTCCAGCCTGGGTCCAGCTGGTTCTGAACAGCTCCAAACCACACACACCTGAAGGTGTTTAAATATTAATGAGGTCAGTGGATCTTGAGTCACCTCCACCCTGATCCAGCTGGTTCTGAACAGCTCCAAACACCTGAAGGTGTTTAAATATTAATGAGGTCAGTGGATCTTGAGTCACCTCCACCCTGATCCAGCTGGTTCTGAACAACTCCAAACCATGCACACCTGAAGGTATTTAAATATTAATGAGGTCAACTGATTCCGTTCCAGCTGGTTCTTAACAGCTCCAAACCACACACACCTGAAGGTGTTTAATTATTAATGAGGTCAATGGATCTTGAGCCACCTCCACCCTGATCCAGCTGGTTCTGAACAACTCCAAACCATGCACACCTGAAGGTATTTAAATATTAATGAGATCAACGGATTTACATTCACCCCTACCGTTTGTCCAGCTGGTTCTTGGAGAGGTCCAAACCACACACACCTGAAGGGATTTAAATATTAATGAGATCACCGGACTTAGCTCCACCTCCACGCTTTGTCCATGTGGTTTTTGGGCAGCTCCAAACCATGCACACCTGAAGGTACATCCAGCTGCCCCTTCTGGAGACCACAGCCCTCCTCAGCCTTTCCTCAGGTGAGGGCTGCTCTGTCCATGTCCTGTCTCCCTTTACTGCTAAACCTCGAGGAGTTTTAAACCTGCAGATAGTGTAGCTACACAAGGTAATTAATCATGTTTTAATGCTTCTCCCTCAATATTTGATAGTTTGAATGTTATTGGTGGTTGCTGTAGTAGGTGAGCACTGCTGGGCCTTTAAGGCTGAGATGAAGCTGCTCTCCTGAGTCATCAGTGAGTGTTTTGGATCTGGTTTTTATTCTCAGGGTGAAATATCACAGTCATTCAGCAAGTGCTTGATTTTCTTGCTTTTGCCTGCATCTGTTGCTTGTTTGGGGTTTGGACTTAAAGTTCTATCTGGAAAGGATGTGGTTGGTTCTGGAAGATGGAAAGGTGACAAGCAGGTTGTAGAGTTAAACAGAGCACAGCACTGCTACAGGATCTAAGAGCAACACTTTCTTCTCCTTTTAACCTCTCTTTTTCTCCCTAAGAAACAAAGTATGCACATTTGGATTTTACTTCCTCTCAAACCTTTACATTAAACAGCTTCTGAGCCAAGTTTAAAT